CAGCCGCGGATGTTTTTTCTGGTGAGTAAATCAGTCGACTGGAAAGTTTAACTCATGCAGCTTCTTTTTATTTTTTATTATTACGTTTGTATTTCCTTTCGTTCATGAGTCTGTGTGTTTCTTCGTTTGTTCAGTTTAATGACGCACTCATGTACACCACCCCGGTCCAGTCCGGCCAGTACAAACTCAACAGTGTCCTCTCTCTGGCCGGGATGAAGGTTAGAGACTAACACAGCACACTCACGTTGCTTTTCTGCCAGCGCCAAGAAAGCTGGTGTGAATTATTGATGCTTTGTGTCTTGAGTTAGCAGCAACAACCTCTCGACATTTTTTCCAAACATTGTCAGAGATGCAGATTCTCTTCCCGTGTTTATCTGTGACGTGTGAATTCCTGCTGTGTTTTCCAGGTGAGCAAGCCGAGCCAGGAGGCCTATCAGAACGAGCTGAACATCGAAAGCGTTGAACGCTCTTTCATCCTGTCTGCCGGGTCAGCACCAGACGATTCCATTTTTATTTTTTCTACTTCACGAGCTTTGAGCATTTGTTGCTGGTTGTGTTCTTTGTGCAGCTGAAGATGTATTTTGTGTTGTGCAGGTCGGCTACAGAGAGAGACGAGTGGCTGGAGGCCATCGCCAAGGCCATCGACGACTACACGAAGAAGAAGATAACCTTCATATCAAGTCGGAGTCAGGAGGAGGTAAAACCAGAAATCTTTGCAGGTGTTCGTTAAAATATATTTTTTTTACACTGTTTGCATCCACGTTAACTTTCTGTCTCTAGTATCAGGCTGAGGGTGTTGTTGACAGCGGAGCCCCGTTGGGCTCAAAGGCTCCCATCTGGATCCCAGACCTGAGGGCCACCATGTGCATGATCTGTACCTGTGAGTTCACCCTCACCTGGAGGAGGCATCACTGTCGCGCCTGTGGAAAGGTCAGAACCACTGAGACCTCCGCCGCTCCAACACAACATCATTTACTCGACCTTTCTCTCACTGCAGTTGTGTGTGTGTGTGTGTGTGACAGGTTGTGTGTCAGGCGTGCTCTGCTAATAAGTACTACCTGGAGTACTTGAAGAACCAGCCTGCACGAGTGTGTGATCACTGCTTCGCTAAGCTGCAGGAGAATAGTGAGTAATAAACTCTTTGCACAGATTAAATATGTAAAAATATAATTTTGATTTTTAAATTTCAACACGATACAGATGATTTGTGATAAAAACTATATGGTCTTGATCTGTGAATTTTTTTAAGGTGACCGTTGTGCCTCAACATCCGTGTCTCCCATCAAATCTGGAGCTTTTTCCTTCACGAGAAAACAGAAAAAGATTCCTGCTGCACTAAAAGAGGTGAGGAATACTTTAAAATTGTACGAGCTACGTTTCCTGAATACTGTATTTTGTTTTTGCTGTGTGAACATTTATTTTTCCCCTCATGGTTTCCCAGGTTTCCGCGAACACAGAGAACTCCTCCATGAGCGGCTACTTAAACAGGTCGAAAGGCAACAAGAAGCAGTGGAAGAGGCTTTGGTTCGTCATTAAGAATAAAGTCCTGTACACCTACGCTGCCAGTGAGGTACTCCAACAGTTTATTTTAATTTTTCTCTAAACTCTGTGTAGGTTTTCTGCTTTTTTTGTTTGACGTCTCTTTCTCTCCGAAGGATGTTGCGGCGCTGGAGAGTCAGCCTCTGCTGGGTTTCTTCCTGAGGGAGGAGAAGAACGGGCCGGCTCAGAAGCTGCAGTTCAAGCTGTATCACAAGAACACGCTGTTTTACATCTTTAAAGCTGACGACATCCCCACAGCACAGAGGTATCAGACAAATCTTTATACATGTAAACCTAAAGATTTCAGTCCAGGTTGATTTGGCTGCGATTGTGATCACCGGGAGAACAGCTAGAGCAGTTCAGTGTCACCACAGTTTGTCACAAATACAACACGAGGACAGCTGGTGTCTCTCACATGGTTTAATAAAGACAGGAAACAGACGTGAAGCAACAGGAGCTGGAGGTTTGCAGATATTAATGTCATCTCTCCCGAGATCTGGGCTTAAAAATAGAGGCGACTGAGCTGCTTCCACTCTCTGGAAGAGTTCATACCAGAACAGCTCAGACCCCAGAAACGTTAAAATCATTGCTTGACTCACTTCTTCTCACTGGCTTTCAAGTGGAGTATGATTTCATCTGCAATATTTTAATCCTCAAATATTTATGATGTTGGACGTTTCACTGCTTTTTGTATTTTCTATTTATTCTCTGTTTTATATATATATATATATTTTTTTGGATGTATTCTTCTAATTTCATATTTTAATGGATCAAAACTTGCGATAAACTTGTTCATTGTGTGCATCATGTTCAGGTTGTTCATTTCCTGTTTTATTTCTGTCTTCAGATGGATCGAGGCCTTCCAGGAGGCAATGATTCTCGAGCAGTAATCTTCTTTCTTTAGCAGTGAAGTCACGTCTCAGCCCCGGAGCTCGTTGATCGCCAACTTTCGACCCCCGATCGATGTCGTGTCAGGGGTCACCAGCTCAGGAAGGACTCCGGATGGACTGTTTAGTTTAAACAGAAACGCCACAGACTGTGTGGAAATCTGACTGCGTTCCCCTCAAAGAGCTGGATTCTGTTTCTCTAAACATCTTTTTTCCACCGACAACAGCTGCTGTTGCTCAGAGCCGCCGGCTGAGGTCGGAGTTAATCGTGAGTTACAGCTGCGGGTCAAAGGTCAAGTCCAGAAGCATGTGTGTGGAAGTGAGACCAAACAGTTGTCAGGGCCGTTTAAAGCCCCTCGGAAGTCTGAAGTCCCGGGATGATTTTTTAAATGCAAATGGATGAAGGAATCACTTTATTGTGGAATTAAATATATGAAACTGTCAGGCTTCATTCAAGCACGTTGTTAAAAACCCGGCGTCCGTTTTAGAGCAAAATCTTACCAACAAACTCTTCAAAATAAGATGTTTGAGCTGAATCACGGACGTAAAGTATCTGATGTCATGTAAAAGGTGAGATTTTACTGTGAAAATCAGGCTTGAGGTTGAATTTCTTCTCTTTAGTTTAATCTCTCTGGTTAAGAGATTTTACTCTTTTATAAAAACACCAATCATTTAATTCATGGGATCAAAAAAAACAACATCCTGGAGAAAACTGGAAATATCAAGAATAATGTAGATATTTTTCATACAATTAAAATGTATTTTTGTTTTGCCACATTCAAACAGTTTAATGGGTAAAACTGTTTATATGGACATAGAAGAGCAACATTGACCTTTTTTATATTGAAGCCGAGAGCTAATATTTATAAAATAGGAAGATTTATTGTTGGAAAAGCACAGGCTGCCGCTTATTTTGGTAGTCAGGGTTTAACAGGAAATATGTTTCCCTCAAAACCGTTATTTTTTTAGATTGAAGTGAATAAAGAAAGTAGGGCCTTTTTTTACACTGTGGAAACTGTGCATAAAATATATTTCTAAGGAAATGATCAAAAGAAAGAAACATTCAGAATTTTTTAATACTTGTGTTCACAGATTTTGTGCCTTATATCTCTTGTTGTGAGATAAAATGCGATTATATAGGGGCTCAGTTTGAAATTCTAGGATTACAAGTTTAAAATCCAAGCATCTGTTTTACATATGTACTCACTTTGTAGCCAGGGTACACGAAGACTGGTTCAGTGGCCAGGCTGCACTGCATCGTGGTCAATTAGTTGATTCCACAATTAAATAGGACGTGGGTTTATTTAATTTGTGGAATCAACTAATTTGCGATGACGGAGCGCTTCACCCTGGTAACCGAACCAATAAAAAACACCTGTAAAACTAAAAACCTCTAGTACCTTCTCTACAAACTGAGTTCTTAGAAGAAAAATGTAAAATTTGTTGATGCTTGTGTTCAGTAATGTGGCTTGTACCCCCTGTTTTGAAATAAATTACATTAATATAGGTGCTAAACACAGTTGAAATTTAGGCATCTTGCTCATATAACCACTCACTTTGTAGACCGGGTACTTTTTGGTTTGTATTTTTTAACAAAAAGTAAGTTCTTGGGTCAGTTGCCAAGCTGCACATTGTGGGCAAATTAGTTGATTCCACAGTTAAATAAACCCACTTCCTCCTTTTTTTATTGAAGAAATAAAATGTTTCTATCATTAGAGCTTGTTGGTTGATGTTGGTCTATAATTCCATTTGTGCCATTTTCAGATTTGGATTAGTGAGGTCTAGATCTTTAGGACGAACCAGCAGCCACACAGCATGCGCTTCTCCATGATTGTACAGTAACATTTGTAAACATCCACTCTGGCTGAGTTAGAGTCTCCTATAAACAATGTTTCTAAACTGTCAGGCAACAGTTTTTAATAAAAAAAGAATATATATATAAATATATCTTGTCCTTCTTGTATTCATTTCCTGTTTTGTTATTCTAAAAAAAAAAAAGAAGTTAATTACATGGTGCAGACGGATGTGTGTGGGAGGCAGGAGATCGGAGGCATCTGTGTGCATCAGGTCCGGGTGAAGTCTGGGTCGCTCTCTGAGAGGTGGCCCTTAAATTTGAAAGATAAGGTTTTTTTCGTGACAGATTCATGATTCCAAAACTCTGAATTTGACTGTAGCTTCGTGCTTTATACTCCCTCATGTCTCCCCCCGCAGTGACACTGGACTCTGTCTGATCTCAACTCATGAGCAGTGGAGAGACGAAGGTCTGAACTCAAACTGTCCTTTAAAAAAGCACAAGTTCAAATCTGTGTAAGGAAACATGGACTCCTCTGAATACTCTGAGGTTATTTATTGAATTTTACTTTTTGATTTGTCCCTTTAAATACCACCACAAAGGCATAAAACACATATATTCATAGCATTAACTTTTAAATTCCGTGAACAGTAGATATGCCCCCCCGTATTTACAGTATCTACAAATTTAACAATGAAAGGAAATAATTCAAAAAACACAATCATTAGCTTTAATTCACATTCCGTTCCCTCTGGTCCGCGTTCGACCCGGACCGTTTATGTCAGCGCACAGTCCGCCCCGGTAATTCGTCCGTGTGAAGATGGCGGAGTATGTGAACGTTGTCCGAAGGGCTTTGGGACAATTAGGAGGTCACGGGGGAGTCCGGGGTTTTCTCGTGCAGCTTTTCAGGTGAGTTTAATAAAAACGAGTGTGTGAGAACATTTAGATGAAACAGGAAACAGAAGCGGGACTTGTTTTTTTTGTTTTCTTATCTCTTTTGCTCTGCCGAGCTAAGTTAGCATGTTGACAGCTAACTGCACCAGAAACATCTGGCTCCTCATAAACAACATCTGGATAAAGTCTCTGGGTGTGATTCACGATGTGAACACGAGGCCGTGACTCGTTTTGGTCTCTGCGCATTTTATTATGTGTGTTTGAGAAGTGACGCCGAACTCCATTGAAATGTCAGAACATTCAAAGTTAAACATCGGTCATCTGAGTTTAAACTTATCAAACATCAAGTCTGAGAGAATCGATTCAAACTTTAGTCGCCACTGATTCATTCGGGTCTCAAGTTGAGTTTGAACACATTTTTTTTATGCTTCACTGACTGAATTTTCTAATAAATAAATACGAATGAAGTGTCTGTGTTGGGACAGTTGATATTATTATTATTATTATTGTTTTGTCTGCAGAGCGAATGACGTGAAGACAGGAGCCCTGATCGGTGTCGATAAATATGGAAACAAATACTACGAGGACAATAAGAACTATTTCTTCGGTGAGTGGATCTTGTGGATTTAGGAGGATTTCGTAGCAGATATTGATATTTGGATGTTGTATTATCACTTTTACAACGTTTGTCTTTGCAGACCAATACTGACACAGTCCAAAAAATATCGCTTGTTGTTTCAGGACGACATCGCTGGGTGATCTACACCACAGAGATGAACGGAAAGAACACCATGTGGGAGGTGGATGGCAGCATGGTCCCTGCTGAATGGTACGATCCGTAGTTTATTATGAAAATTATACAATAAACTACATTATTTAACATGCAGCAGTTCATTTATCCACTTATAATATACTTATAAGATACTTGTAATGTGTTTTTATCAGGACTGTGTGAAAATGGCCTGAACACTTGATGAAACAAGTCACATGACATCGTGAGATTTTGTGTTAAATTGCAAATTTTACACAGAAGTCAGCAGATTTAAAGTCGAACTCAAAATAATTAGCAACATGAAAGTGTCATAGCGGAGACTAGGAAAAGAACAATGTCGACAGTTGTTTGTGTGTTTGTAACATGCTTATTTCAAGTTAGGGTGGAAAACATTTTTGAAACTTCCTCTAATGCAACATGGTCTTAAATCTCAGGATCAGTAAAATGGTTTCTGAATTCTTTAGGCATCGCTGGCTGCACTGTATGACAGACGACCCCCCCACCACACACCCACCCGAGCCCAAGAAGTTCCTGGCTGAGATCCACCAGTTCAACGTGAGCGGCAGCGCGCAGCAGTACGTTCCGTACTCCACCACCCGCAAGAAGGTCGAGGAGTGGGTTCCGCCCAAAGCTGGAGCCCAGTGACCTCTGACCACTCGTTTCATTTTCAACTCTGTAAATTATGGTTTCCTGCCGCTGTATCCAACTTGCCCCGAATAAAAATCTCTACGCAAATGTTTAAAATGAGCGTCGCAGTCCTTACATGAAAATTTGTGTTCCCCAAAGGTTGAGAATTGATTCGTGGTGGAAGCTACAATATAATAATACATATATATATATATGTCTATATCTTTATTTTTTTGTTCATTACAGACTCTGATTTGTTCGGGAAGAGAGTTCCAAAGGGAGAACTGTGGAAATAAATCCACGATTGTGTTTTGTAGTAACAGTACATTGTTCTAGATCACATACAGTACCTCGTATATTTCAGTATCGGTGCACTGAGTCCAGTGGTTTGTGTCACTGAGAGTTTACTGCACCGTGTCTCTGTTACATGTTAATCTGCAGGATTATGCTGAGCTGAGGGGAAGTTGCAACGTGCTGCATTTCTCCCTGAGGTGCAAAGAGATTCTGCAGAGCTGACGAGTGTGTGTGGAAGTGACTGGACTCAAAATACACACACACACCCACACACCCATGACTCAGTCTCTGTGAATATCCAGTCAGGAGCAGAACGCTCATGTAGGACTGAAGACGAAAAGGTCTGTGCACTGTTTTATTTCCACTTCTTGAACATTAAACTTTAGAGATATATAATTTTGATATTTACTTTTGACACAAACAAACTTATCCCTCTGTATTCACCTTTATATCTTTCATTTAAATATACCTGTGACATTTTTAGTGAAATTACGAGCGTTAGTGTAAAATCTGAAATGAACAGAAACTGTAAAATATCTTATCTCCAGTGAAGCAGGAGACGTTTAGAAGTTAAACACACCCAGTTGCAGAAGCTTGTTTCTTATTGCAGTTTATATTGTATTTGTACTACATTTCAAATGGAAATATTATGTATATTTTTCAGCTATAATTAATCCTGAGTAACTAAAATTTTTTTATTTTACATAAATAAAACTACATAGATACCATAAGGTAGATACAGGAGATACAATTATAATTAAAACTTTTGCTTTATATGAAACAGTTTGTCTAGTTTGTAGAAGTTATTATCACTTTCACCAAAACTTTATCAGTTGGTTCCATTTGATTAATTTCTTAGGTCTTGACAGGTAAAATAAATATCCAACATTTAACGAGCAAAGTAAGGTTGTTAAACAAAAGTAATTTATATATCAGATCTCACATTAATCATCTCAAAACCTCTTGGATGCTCACACATGGAGGCATCACTAACAAATGATTAATGTCATCAATCTAGTTTTCTGTGGGGAAAATAAACTTGTGTTGACATGATGGTAAAAAATTACTGTTTAAAACATTAGTGACTCGATTTTTCTTCTGGTTTCAAGGATCCGGAGCAGTTCGATGAGGAAACTCACAGTTTCATTCCTTTTTCCTCGAGACGACAGTTTGGAGGAGGAAGGCGAAGAAGAAGAAAAAGAAGAAAAAGAAGAGGAGGTGGAAAGTCAACTCGATGTAAGTTTCCTCTGTGTGATTTGTTTCCAAGAGGGGGCGTCGTTCCTTTAGATTTACATCTGTGAGGCAGCTCTGTCACCTCGGCTGCATCAGAAAGAGGCTGAGGAGGCTCACGGGGCTTCTGGCCTCCTCTTGACTCAGCGCTTTCAGAACGCAACAACAACAACAACAACAACAACAACGAGCCTCTCTGGTCTTTATTTAGAAACCAGAGGAGACTGTTCCTGCTCACAGTGGAAACCAGACAAAGCCCGGGAATTAATTATCAAAATCAATGAGCTGGAAAATGCTCTGACAGTAAAACTGAGCCGTGTCTGATGTTTGTCAAAGTCAAACTCATATTCCACAAATGGTTTGTTATGTCTTCGTCCTGCTTTGGCTGACAGCTATCGTCTGATTCATCCTCTGCAAGTGGAGCAGATAATGTCTCTGGTAATAGCTGATGCAGCAGTAGATGCTGGTGGTGGTGCCAGCTGGGCTCCAGAAACAGACTGAAGAGTCTCGATGTCCAGACACGCTCCGCTGTCTCTTCGTCTTCCCTCCTGCCAACTGTCATATCCCCTGACCGTCCTCCTCTTCCTCCTCCTCTGAACCTCCATCCCTTCTCTTTAACATCCCCCCCCTCTCCTCTTCCTCTTCCTCTCCTCTGAGATCTGAGATCCTTGATGAGTATTTTCACACTGGACCGTATTAAAGGAGTTTTAATATACGGTTCCTCAAAGGAAGCGCGTGTTTCCTGAATTCTCTGTCTGTGTGTATGTGGCTCAAATATCTCGAGAACCGTTTATCTTATCGGTTTCACACTCGGTCATGTTTGTTTTTAAGACTCCAGGAAGTGCACAGTTGAATTTGGTTCTCTGAGGGTTCTCACAAAATTGTCGTTGCTGTGGACGAACGTACGCAGCGACTGTCGACGGGTCTTCGTCCTGTTGCGATGCCGTTTCCAGACTCACTATAATTCTCCCGGATCTTTGCTGCTGCTGATGGATCCTCTCTGCCCTTTTCGCTGCTGAAATATCAACATCCCAGTTCTGTTCAACTCATCATGTTTCTGCACTCAAGAGGGCGAAACCTAAACCAAGGCACAGAGAGATAAGATATACAAAGAAAAGAATCAGTTGAATATATGTCGCGTTAAAAGATAACAAACAGCCGAATGTTTATTATCCTTTAAGTCGAGTGCTTGACAAGAAGCAAAACTGAGCCTGTTCAACACTCCCAGTCATGAAGAATGTGTTTGAACAGGAGTGGGAGTGGGTGCAGAGTCCAGCCTCGGTCACATAAACACACACACACACATGGAACCACAGGCTGTTATCTGGCTCTGCAGACTTGAAGTGCTGTCAGAGTCTCCATCCTGTAGAGTGCGTTCACCCTCAGGGCTCGAGTCTGGCAGGAGATTCCTGCACTAACTCAAAATTCCCACGCTCATACATTCCCTTCCACCTCCCCCACCGCCCCTCCGCTGTCCTTTTGCCACCTCTCCATCTTGCACCATCATGCCCCCCCACCCCCCCACCCCTCCACCTACGATTGGCAGTAGAGGTTTCTGTCAGACGTGTGCCCGCCCCGACGCCAGTGGAGGGTGGCAGATAGGGATCAGAGAAAATACCTCCTCTTTGCTGCTTCATGCCTTTTAAGGTGGTCTTGTCTCCAGCAGGGCCGAATGTGTGAGAACGCTAGAGGTCAGGAACGCAGCTCAGGACGAGGCAGTGTGTGTGCATGTTGGGATTTGAGTGTGTGATAGCTGCAGACACAGGAAGCAAACTATTTCACAACACACACACACACAGACACACACACACACTCCTCCCCCCTCAGAGTCCAAGTCCTAACCTCAGAGACACACACAGCTCTCTGATATGCAGGGGTCCTCTGAAGCTGCTGTGACATGCACTTTGACCTCAGGCGGTGAGGAAGAGGAGGCATGAGGAAGAACCACAGCGCTATTCCAATCATCTATGTGACGGAGGTACAGCGTTTGCACTTGTTACGACCCTAAATCTGTCTCCCTGCTGTTTCTGCTCGGTGTTTTTTGAACTCCTCTGCATGAATGAAAAGAAGAATTCAGTCGTCAGATGTAATCAGCTGTGAGTTATTGCCCTTGTGAACTCTGCGTTTACTCCGGTTACATTTATGTGACTCAGAAAAAGTTGATTTGTCACTGAAATGTGCCGCGGTACAAACCAAGATTGTAAATTGTGACATCTTCGCAAGGACACCGTCCAAGACCTGGCAGCTTTCTGTCGTAAGAAAATAGATTTTAAGGGTTTTAAGCAGGAAAGAGTTGCCTTCATGCAGTTTTCTTCAGGTTATTTAACTTACTTTTGCTTTTGTATGGTGAGATCTAATCAAAGAAAGTTCTTCTTTACAGTTAAAGGTTGAGTAAGACAAGTTTCACCACGTCCCTCTCTGTGTGAAATGTGTAATTAGCCCCTGCAGCTTGAGTAACATCGGAGGAATGTCTACATCGAGCCATAGATCATGCACAACAACTGCAGAGAGCTTTTTATCGTCTGAATGTCTCTGCTCTGCACCCGAGCTCTCGAGCAGGAGGTCATGTTTGTGTTCCTCCTGTCCGTCTGTATCTGTCCATCACAGTCTCAGGCGCCCGGGTCGCTGCACTCATGTGTCTGAAAGAAAAGCGTCCCTGGGCCAGTGCCTGCATAGAGTCTGTGTGCGTATTGTGCTGACGCTGCACTGCTGTGTGCATGCATCATGTGCCCCAGTCTGCCAGTATGCAAAATACTGTTAAACATCATGTTATGTAACCCCTCCGCTATAATGGGACTCTTCCTGCCAGCCCATAAACAAGGAAACATAAAAAGGAAGAAGCAGCAGGACATTTTTTTTTTCATCGCTCCTCAGTGTTTTCAGCCTCTTCAAGGTCTCGGCTCTGCAGAAAAGTTCTTCAGCTGCAACATAATCATGTTTTCACAGCCCCTGCACCCCCGATATGTTGTTAAATCCTCTGTCTTCACAGCCTTTAGAGATGTAGCTGCCCTGAAACTGTTAACTCTTCTCACCTCCATCCTGTTTACCATGGAAACCATCACTGTCTCCCGTACACAGCATTCGAGACCTTGATCCACATTCTGCTTTTATCCACACACCCCCAGTCTGCCCTCTCGTTAAGTCGTGTTTATCCCATAACAGAGGTAATATCTCCGAGGACATCACTGTGTAACGTGTCAACAACACAGTTTTTTTAGCTCATGCGGTGGTTGTGTACTTGTTGTGTGCGTTTATCCTTACGTGCACACTGTGTGAGGACATTTGAAGCGTCTATATATGAAAAGACATCTAGAACGAGACCAGAGGCGGTGAATGATAGGATGTTCTTATCTGAGATCTTTGCGGCGATGCTGCAAACCAAAGACGAGGCATGTTTTGATCTGGCCCAAAGGATGGAGATGCTGGTAGATTGTTGATAAATCTTCGACAGTCCACAGAACATAAATCCTCCTCTGACTTTTGAGATCCCCTGGAAGTTTGTCGGCATCTTCTTCATCAATTGCCGTGAAACTTTATGACATTCACGTCCTCCTTCTGGATGAGTTGTTGCAACCTTGGTCACGATTTTAAAC